CTGTAAATGATTAACAAATAACTTCACACCCAGATGTGTAATTTTTCTTGTTTAGCACTTAGTTAATGTCATTCTATACCCAGGATGTTGTGAGCAAGCATTCCTGTACACAGACACAGGAGGGGCAGTCTTATATCCCTGCTCCCATCCTTAGGAGAGGTAAACAAGGCCTGGGTCTCTGCAGCTAATCACGTAGTCCGGTCTCCCCCCACTGGATACCCTGATTAGCATTGATGTCATGTTGTTACAAAGGAATGCTCTGAAAGATCCCAACTCTAAGAGTGCCAGTACAATTGACTTAGCCAGTAGAATTCTAAGGGCAAGAGAATTTTTTATGACAAGTTTTGAATATAAGATAAAAGAGGAAAAATATCTGTTCCATCTGATGATTTTGTAATGTAGTGCAGTGAGTTAGAAATAATCTGATAACAAAACTAGAGTAAATATTAAAAAGAAAACAAAAGTATGGACCAAATAAAAATTATCTTGCAATTTACCAAATAAAATAAGCTTTTGTGTTTATCTTAGCTATGTAAGCCTGAATCAACACTATAAGAGAATCAATATCATTTACCACATTCTCAGAAAGAGATAGAAAAATCTCATAAGTTAAGCAGATGAGTAAAAGTTGAAACAGTTCAATATCTAGTCAACAAAAAAGCCCACAGCAAGCTAGGAATAAATGGATATTCTAAAACTGGTTAAAAGAATTTTTGAAAAATACATAGTTAACATTATATTAATGATATAAAACTGGAGGCTTATCCTGATTGAGTACAAAGCAGGAATTTGTGCCCTCATCACTACATTCATCCATATCTGAGATTATCCAGTCTTAAAAATAATGAAAAAATTAAAAACAAAGATGACAAATGGATGTTGGGCCCAGGAGATAGCTCAGCCACATAAGTGCCTGCCTGGCAAGTGCAAGGTCCTGAGTTTGATCTCCAGTAGCACAAAAAAAGAAAAAAAAAATATATATATATATATATATTCTACAGTTATTACTAGAACTAACAAGATAATATTTCAGGTTGCAAGAGAATAAAGCATGCTACTCAAAAGTTAACTGTGATTCTTTACACTAGAAATAAACAATTAGAAAGCAGGATTTTAAAGTAGCATTTATTGTAGCCACAGAAACATGAGATCTTAAACTATGACTAAAAATTGTATCTTGAAAGCTATGAGGCCAATGATATTATGGGCTTCTGTACTCTTTTAGAATATTTTGCTGAGTTTACACACCTATAATATTCAACAACGGAACTTAAAAAAAATTGGGGTATAACTATGAATGTCCATTTTGTATCTGTGTATTCAAAGTTGTTGGGATAGATATATAGTTGCATTCTCTTAATGAATAGAATGATTTTTTCTAATGGTGTTTGTAAGTAGGATCACAAGTCTGCATCTTGTACAGCAATTAACCACTGAGAAGAATGTATGCAGTGTATTATTTGTTGAAACTGTACTTTCGATTTGATTTGAAACTGTCTCATTGCTATATGTTTATCAATAAAACTTTGAAAAGAAAAAAAAATAAAAAATAAAAATATGATAAAAAAAGAAAGCTATGAGGGACATAAATATGTTAAAAGATATGATATGCTCAATATTGTCAAGGGGTCGGTTATTCTCAGTGCATGACTATATGTTCAGTACAATACCAATCAACATTACAGGAGGTTGCATTAAGGAACTGACAAGGGTTGGATCAGATCCAATATGTATAAACATCATATTGTCTCCCTAGAGTAAGAACTCGAAAGAGTAAATAGGATCTGAAAGGTACAATGGGTGATGTGAAAGGGAAAGAATCTGTTCAAAGGGAAGGAACAACTGGGAGGAAGAAAAGGAGAAAAAAAGAAAGGAGGAAAAGAAAAAAAAAGTGTGTGTGTGTGTGTGTGTGTGTGTGTGTGTGCATAGGATAGTGTGGATAATTGTGCTGCTAATTTCTGCTGGTCTATTGAAAGGAGAAGTTAAGGCTTAAATTTGTTTCTCTCTCTCCTTTTTAATTTTTTGACCAGTCTTACAGGTATATCTGTATCTCATAATCTGAACAGCTAATTTGAAGACAACAGTATGCAATATAACACTTGTTGAATTCCTATTATTTTGTTTAGTGAAGTCCTGTATCATTTCTAATTTTTTTTACTATTTTTGTATTCACTTTAATTTTTAAAAAATAAGCAAATACTCAAAAAGTTTGTAGCGAAAAATGCCTATACATATATATATATATACAAGATAGGATAGATATACAGCTACTTTCTCTGAGTTTAATAAGAAGAAAGTTTGTACTAATATTGCTCAGACAAGATATCATGTCTACATCTTATCCTCTGATATCGAGCAACTTTCTTAGTTCAATGAGAAGAAAGGTTTGTACTATATTGTTCAGACAAGATATCATGTCTATAACTTGTGCTCTGAATAACTATGAAGACAATATGCAATGTATTATTTATTATAACTGCCATGCTAACCCATTCTGAAACTGTTTCATTGCTATTTTCTCTTTTTTCCCATTAAAATGAACAAAGAAATTTAAAAGTATATGCAAGACCAGAGGACACAGAAAAACTGAACACTATAGTAAAAATAGCAATGTTGAAGGGCTATGATATTTCAAGATGTAATATTAAACTGAAATAATCAAAAAACTGCTTAATCTACTTTAGTGTGGACATACAAACCAGAAGAACAGAAGATACAGACCAGAAATAAACCTACACAACTATAATCAAATGGTTTTCCACTCAGCATTGTAATTGTGAGAGAAGATAAACTTTTAAAGAAATGATCCTGAAAAATAAATGGATGAGTGAACTTTAAAACTGAATCTTTGTCCTAACTTCACATTACAAATTGTTTTAGTCACGGTTTTATTTAGAGGGACAGATAGTAATATAAGGAACAGACATTAACAAGAAATGTACAAATGTATAAGGAATTACAAAATTGGCTTAAACTGAAGGATCCAAACTAGAGGCAGAAGAGTCTCTGCTGCGAGCCAGGTGATGAAATCCAAGACAAATGCAAAGACTGAAGTTCCTCAAAGGATGTGGAATGATCGCTTTTTTTCAGTCCCTTTATATGGTCTTTTTGTGCTGAGTCACTCTGGGGCGGCCCTGTCACTCCCTAGGGAGGAACCAATCATGCTCCAGGCTGGGCCCTCAAGGCCCAGAATCCTGCAGGAGTCATCTAGCCAAGTTGACACAATGTATCAACCTCTACACAAAAGGAATTTTGTTTGGAATGGGTTATTGTCTTAAACACAAAGCCTTCAACTTACTATAAAACTTTTTAAAGATATCATAAAAATGCTCTTAGTCTCATGCAGTTACTTCAGGAAAGAAAATGACAAGCTATTGGATTGTAGAAAATATGTACAAAGAAGACATATGATAAATACCAAGATTACACACATACCCACAAAAAAATCAGACTAGAAGAAAAAATACAAGAAATAATGAATTTAATCAAATATTAGGAAAATTCATAAAATAAGTTGCATGAAAGCCAAAGCACATTAAAAAGGTCATCAGCAAGTTGAAGGATTTTTTTAAATGTTGTATGTACAACTGTACTAAAGAGATGGCTCAGTGGTCTAAAGCACCTACTTAGAACAAGCTTAGCAAAGCACAGGGGCTGCGGTTCAATCCCCCAGCACCACATGCCAGCCAGCCCCGCCCCCTGGTGGGCTGAGCTGGCCACACACACACACACACACACACACACACACACAAATAAATTAAAAAAAAAAGAGTTCTACTGTGAATACCACTCAGGAACAAACTAATGCCTAATAAAACAAAATACAGTTACCAAACCTGGGTACATAGTTGCCCTGGTGCATGGGATGGCAACAGAGAAAATCGACTGCAAAGGTCAGTGACTTGGTAACAAAACACCGTATACATGGACACACTAACTGAGGTTTACATTAAAATATTGCATTTTATTATATGTAAGTTACACCTCCATAATATTTATTGAAAATGTCCAGGAATATATTTCCATTATAATTACCAAATAGAAAGTTATCATTTTATGTTGCAAGTATTGAAATTAAACATTTTGTTCCTCTTGGAGTTCCCATACCATCAGTACTAGCAAAAGTCAAAAACCTAAGATTTTTCAATTTCTATTCTAAGTAACTTTTCTGGTTATCCTTATTTCACCAAGTAATTAGAAGTACTTGGTAATTAATTACCTCAAAATTCCATTCTTAGTGGCTGGCCAAATAGTTTAGCGGATTAAAGCACCTGCAATCAGGTGCAAGAGCTGCAAGCCCCATCCCTGGATCATGCTGAGATGACAACTGAAACTGGGCTTGGTGGCACACGCCTATAATCCCAGCTCTTGGGAGGCTGTAAACAGATGGATCACTACAAGCCCAATCTAGTAGTAAGACCCTGAACACCCTGTAGACTCTTCCCTAAAAATAAAAAAATTAAAATAAAAAATCTTGAAAATTCCATTCTCAATGAATAAGTTAGTAGCAAAGGACCATAAATAGTCATAAGGCTGGAGATTTATAATTAAGAAAATGTTTACCATGGTAGATCTTTTGAAGGTAAGAGGATCTTTTAATGATTTCCCTAGTAATTATTTTTGTCTTTTTTTTTTTTTTTTACTTTTTTTTGTGGTATCATGAATCAAACTTTGAGCCACTGAGCTATATCCCCAACCCTCAAGTAATCTTTTTTTTTTCTTTTTTGTGGAACCAGGGATTGAACTCAGGCCCTTGCACTTGCCAGGGAAGCACTTATTCCACCAAGCCATCTCCCCAGCCCCTCGAGTAATCTTTAAATTGTCAATAATATATAGAATGCACATCATAAATGTCATGTGTAACAGATATTCATTTTTAAAAATTTACAATGACTTTCACAATAAAAAAAAACTGAGAGGAAAAATAAATTATCTTTCCAATAGACAAAATCTAAAACTTTTAAAACCTAGAACCTCCCAAAGCATATGACTTGGATGGCTTATGGAATTGTGATCTGTTGATCCTCAGCCTTTGTCTTACACTTTAGTGGCCTCAGCACAAAGAGGAAGGACTGCTTTAACTTGGAGTAGCCCAGAATCAGGATAAGTGAATGGCTTGAAGGATAGATGAGTGTGATACACAGGACAAGTGCATGCATCAGGTCACTCTGATGCATCTGAGAAATCCACGATGTGAAGAGGGACAGAAAGTAAGTAGTATAGAGTAGGAGGAAAGAGACCACAATTTTCAAGGCATTGATGTGGGCCTCGGTCCTGGGATCGCTGTGTCCTTCAGAATTGAGCCTCATCTTCTGTCGATGTTTCCATAAGGAGATGGTAAGCAGGAGTAAAGAGATCAGGGCCAGAATAAATGGTATGAAGGAGAACATGGTCATGTTGAATATGATGAGCTTTGATAGCACCGCAGACTCACTCAGTGTGGAATTCCAAGCTGTGTTTCTTTCATGTCCGTGCTTCCAGTCTTCAACATGGGTGCTTATTTGTATCATATTTAAAAACAAGAAGACCAAACTTCCTAGCAATATTGTCAGAATCACTTTTCTTACTCTCCACCTCAGATACAGAAAAATAGGCCTGGAGAAAGTGGCAATCTTGAACAAATAAACGATGCTGAGTACTGTAGCAAACCAGAGACTGAAATGATTGAAAACTACCCAGATAAGCAAAGAAATTTTTATTTCTTCTCTATCCACAGTTGAAAATGAGTAATGAAGAGGTTTGAACCAACTTACTAGTACTTCCCAGATCACACCAGTTCTGGAAATTGCCAAGATGATGAAGATTTGATCAACTGAGCTGAGCTTTCTTTTATGGACCCAGTCAATGAAATTTTTCACTATGATAAATCCATTGGTCAAATTCCCAATTATTAACTGCACAACTACTACGAAGGTTAAGAAGATTTGCAGACCGATTTCCATGTCCAAAGTGAGAAACTTAAAAAGTTCAATATCCCTGATGGTTGCCTTCTGACTAAAATGTCACGAACATCTTTCAGTGTACTGCCAAGTCCTTCTTCCTCTTGTTCCTCTTGTGCCTTCTTTAACTATTGGTCTAATGTCAAATCAAAAAATCTCCTTGGTTTGCTAATTACTATGAAGGTAGCAGTTCTGGTGAAATCTTTTTATCCCCATTTTTCTGAGAAGCCTTCTTTAAGAAGTTTAATTCCCCAAGATGGGCTGAATTATGTTTCATAGACGATTATGAAACAAAACTGTATTAACATTTGTTAACATGTAAATGAGGACAGATTCTCTTTCACTGTTTCATACTTTTGCCTTGCTGTAATGACAGAAATTTCAGTTCCACCAGCCTGACTTCTAAGGTGTATAGAGATCCAGTTTATAATGCGTTTAGCTAAATGAAGCATTTATATTTAACAAGATAGTCACTGACAATTATGAAACATGCAGACAGGACTAACTTATTTCAATAAAGTCTTCCATTACCTGTGCCTGGAGGCACTATGTAGGCAATACTGGAAATAGAGAAAAATTCATACACAGATAGCTTGTCCGACTCACCCCTGATTTTCATAATGGGGCAGGGCTCCCTTGGTGCCTCCAGCTATCAAATGCTTTCTGGCCTTTCTGGTTTTCCTCTCTCATTGCTTTTCCAAACATAGAAATGAAAAAAATATTAATAATCAAGAAAAAGTACAAAAGATACAGAACTGTATGATGGCATAAGTTTCAAAATTTATAACCAAAGGAAGAAAAAGGTATCGTTTTGAAGGGCAAAGTTTGCTCACCCCACTTCACCTTCACACCCCAGGGAAAGAAAGTAAGTCAGCAAAATTCTGAAAACATGGAAATGCAAATAGATGACCTAACTCAATATTTAAGTAAACAGAATGCTATTTTTATCTTGATGGTCATGTAATAGTTAATTTGTTTTTTAATCTAGACATGAATTTTAAGTGTAACTTATTCATGTAAGCTTTGATAGGTGATCTACAGAATACTCAGACTCACAATGTAATTTAATTGTATAATTTTTGATAATTTGAAAATTTCAGATGTAACTTAAAATATTCATGAAATCATTTTCCCTTTTATTATTTTGATGGTATAGTTGTTAAGAGAGATTTTCTATAACCAGATATTTAGCATTAATGACTTAAGTATTTAGATGTGTGCTATGTGAGTTTCCTTTTGCATATTTGGCACAAGCCTAAAGAAATGCTTTACATCTTTTGATTTTTTGAGCAAATAAATTTTTTTTTTGTTTACCTATACAGAATTTGCACCAAAAATCTTCACAAAGGGGCCAGGGAGATGGCTCAGTAGAATAAGCGCTTGCCTGTCAAGCCCAAGAGCCTGAGTTTAATCCCCGGTTCTGCCAAAAAAAAAAAGGATCCACACAAATACGTCACCTGACAGACAAGACAGTGTTTGCATGTGAGAAAATATCATAAACCTGTGGAATTTGTGACACAATATTTGATAAAGATTTAGTCACCATTTTAAGCTTACAAGTGTCTGGTAAGAGACTTCCATAACAGAAGACTTTGGAAAGGCAGACCAAAGAAAGATAGTATTTTATTTCTATGGGAGAAAAACAGATTCCATGTGAAAAACCACAGAAAAATTTGTTTGGAAGTCTGAATTAAAAAGAAAAAAAGCCATAAAGTGTAGGGATAGGAGATGAGAAAAGGTTTAATTGTTTTCCACAGATTATGGAACTAATCATATGAGATACAGGTTTTTGATATTTTTCTATCCTTTACTTAAGGTATCCTAATACCCTTGTATCTCTTTGCATATTAACAATGTACAGAGGATTGATTTTCTTGCATTATGCAATAGCTGCAGAATGCAAAATAATATGCGTATGCCGTTCCTTTTATATGAAATTTAAAACCATGCAAAGCTAACATAGCATATAGAGAAACCTAGTAAGATGTTAAAAAATAGAATAAACCAAGATAGACATTACCAAACAATCATTAAAGGAGGGCTCCAGTCAGGAATAAAGATGTTCAGGTTCTCTTAGAGTTTAACGTCAAATCAAAAAGTTGATATTGTGCATTCCTATACATATTACCCTTGGTTCTAAAAGAAATGCATGCAATATTTCACTCTATTAAGAATAAAAGGAGGGCTGGCCAGATAGCTCAGCAGATTAAAGCTCCTGCTTAGGCAGATGCAGGAACTGGGTTCAATACCTTGCATGCTGTACTGGTCCAGAGACAGTGATTGAGACTGCTCGTGGTGGTCACACCTGCAATCCCAGTGCTTGGGAGGCTGAAAACAGGAGGATCACTAGGAGTCTGAGCTGTGTAGAGAGACACTGCAGACTCTGTACTGAATACATTTTAAAAAAGAATGAAAGCATTACCAGTAGAATGTTTGTGGATTTGCTTTTGTATTGTATTGTATCCAGTTTCCCTGTTATATTGATTCTTATTTGTGCGTCAGTGAGTTTCTCTGCTACGTATGCTTTTTAACATTCTATTTTGTCATATTATACTTAATTTTCTAGCATTAAATTCCATATGCTTGATTTGATTTTCCGGTGCTGTGATTAAAATGTTTGCATCTCTGTTTATAAGGAATATAGACATTTTAATTTTTATTTCTCACCTTGTACTCATCAGATTTGATGTTAAGATTTCTTACCCTCGTAACATTTGTTGAGAAGTATTTCTTTTCTGGTTTATTTTGATATAGGACATACATAAAGAATTTGATTAAGACTAGGGGTGCTCTTTGGAAGAGTACAATACTGTAAATACTGGGACCAGGAAGACGGCTCAGTGGAATAAACGCTTCCCTAGCAAGCACAAGGGCCTAAGTTCAATCCCTGGTTCCGCAAAAAAAAAAAAAAAAGATAATAAT